GTCTGAGAGGTTGGATATGGTGGAAAGAGACAGACCGTGAAAATGTTTTAGTGCTTTTTAACAAAAAATCTTAACAGTATTTATTTTTATTTAATGGCAAGGACTAATAAATCTGACAGTTGAAAATTAAATGATTCAATAAGAAAAAGAAAAAAAAAAGTCTAAGAATCCAAATAAAAACTGCGACCGGTTAGCCATGGTTTACTTTGTAATAAATGTAAGAAAAACGATATTGGGAGTACCTATACTTTTTTCTTAATTTTTAATTTGATATTTATACATTTTTTCTTACTTAAATCATTTAATTTTTTTTTAGTAACATTAGTTCTTGTAACTTTGTTTTGTTAGCATTTATAGTCTCCATGCAAGGATTAATAATGTTAATTAACTAATATTAAATATTTAATTAAGAGAAAAAACACATAAATAAGAAATTGAAAATTTAAAAAAAAAATATAGATACCTCCAAAATGATTTTTCCAAGTGTAAACTAAAGTTGGTGGCTTTATTCAAAGAAAGGGAACACAAGGTTTCTTATAGTTGCCTAGGAGACTGCAACGAGTTGTGAAACCCATTTCAGTAACAAGTAGTTGTTAAAACTACATTTTTATTTTTAAATATATCGTTATAATCAATAAAAAAATGATGAAAGATAATATTTTGGGAAATGTAATGAGAAAGTATATGGCAAATGAAAGAAGATATAATTAAAGATAAAATTGAAAAAAATTACATTAAATATTAAGATAATCCTAAATTGAAACTTATAAAATAAATTGCACTCCTCCTCAAATTTAAAGTTTATAAATAAGATAGAAGGGAATAGTCTAGGAAAAGCCAAAAGGATCGATCATGCTATTAAAATTAAAATTAAATGCCTAATTAATGTGTTTACTTTGATTTTTGGACTTGTAATTTGTCATCCATGGTTAATAAAATACTCCCTCCGTTACTTTCTTTTCTTTTTTTTTCATAAGAGACGATTAATCGAATAATTTGGATTAATAAATTAGTTAAAATTAATTAGCAGTAATAAATATGCAAAAACATATAATCAATTCTCTAAAAATCCTTGATTTTAAAAAATGTAAGTGTGAGAGAGAATGAATTAAAAAAAGATACGAGAAAAAATTATTGAAAAAAGAGATGAAAGAGACATCTAATTAATTGAAGATAAATATGAAAATGCATTCAATATCCAGACATCTCCAAAGCGATTTTTATAAAATGAAACATTCACTTTCAGAGAATTGTATCTTATAAAAAGGAACAGAGAGAGAATTCTATATACTCCCTTTGATTAATATAACATGTTTCTATCTAATTCACACGTATTAATAAAAATGGTTCAAAGAATTAAATTTGTCATGAAATTTAAATGATTCTTAATTTTACCTTTATTAAGTACAATGAATTTCAATGTCAAATTAATTTTTATTCTCTCTCACTAATCTAATTAAATATGGACATATATATAAAAAAATATTTAGTACTCACTAAAATTATCAAAATGTCATATAAAATGAATCAAAAAAATTTTTCCTTAAAAAGTTCTTATAATTTGGATCAAAAGAGTGCTGTATATGGTCACAATACACTCTAGTAGACCTAGGAATTGACTCCACAATGTTGAGTTCAATGATTTGTCCATATGCATCACCTATGAACATGCCTAACAAAAAAATTCAAGATAGGAGATAAATTCATTGATCCAGTCCTTGGAAGATTACTTTGATCTGGCCAAGAAAAATCATCGAGAAAGAACTAATAAAATATAAGGAGAGTTATGGAAAGTACTTCGGACCTATTTGATGAGTTAGTTAATCACTAGTAAGGGCCTCAAATTTCTAAAATTATTTTGAAGGTTCTTTGTCCTTTTCAACCAAAAAAAAGAAGAGGCGGAGAAATTCTCAGCTCCAAGAAATGTATCAGTTAAACAAAAGATGAAATTAAGAGGGTGATTAGATAAAACCAAATCATAATTTCGAGAATAGTTTCTGAGAAATAGATTTTGAGAAAATAGATTTTTTAAAGAATAGATTTTGTGAAAAAACAATTATGATAAAGTGAGAGTGTTTGGATAGTTATTATCAGGAACACTTTTTATATATACAAATTACTAAAAAGGTATAAATCAATAGGATAATATATAAAAGTTATATTTTAGTTTATATTTTCATTTGAAATAATAAAGTTGCTAGTAATTATTTTTGCCAAGAAAATAAGTAATATATAAAAAGTATAATTAATTAATTGTTAGTATTTGTATATATACTTATAAAGCATAAAAATAACACGTTTTTAGAAAAATAAATATTTTTTTCAACAAAAATATTATTTTATCTTAAAATTATAAACATGAAATGCTTATATTAATTATCTAGTTCTGCAAGTTGGAAACATTCTTCCATACTCCCTCATTATTTGACTACCGGCATGTTTGGCAAGTACCCCAAACCATGGTTTGGGAAAAATGTCAACAAACAGTCCCTGAAATAAGAAACCATGGTTTGGGAGCAAACCATGGTTTTAAACCCCCAAACCATGGTTTTATTAGAAGCAGATTAGAGTTGCTTCTTAGCTCCAATTATTGGAAGCTTACGGTGGGCCCATCACAGATAACCAAATAGCCCCACTCAAATAATTGCTTCTCCTTTCCTCATTTGCTCAAATAATTACACAACAAAATAATTCATCTTCTCCAAAAATATTTTTACTCTTATGTTTTATGAATATATATACATGTGGTGACAATTAATTAATTAATTTTAATTAACATCGGAGGTAGTATGTTATATACAAAAGCTAGTTGTGAAAAATGTTATGGGATTTTATGTTTAAATCTTTAAAGAAATTAATATTTTTCTGTTAGCAAAAAAAATTCATTTTTCTATAAACATATTTAATATCATGTTTTATAAATATATATACACATATTAATTATGTATTAATTATATTATCTTATATATTATTAATTATGTTAGTAAAAATTATTTCATTAACTTTTTTATTTCTTCAAATCAAAATATATCATAAAATCTATCCCTTATATAATTATCATTTAACTTATACTCTTTTGGTAATTTCTACATGTAAAAAGTGTTTTTGGTAATAACTATCAAAATCTCTCACTTCTCAGAATCACTTTTTCACAAATATATTCTTTACCAAATCTATTCTCCAGAAGTTATTTTTCCAAATCACGATTTGGTTTCATCCAAACACCCCCTTAGTATACTTTTAAACCTAAACCATGGTTTTTCTAAAAAATAGAGTGTTTGGATAATTTTAGACTCAAATCATGGTTTTTATAAATAACTAACTTACCTAATTTCTTTAATATAATTAAATTAGTTAAATATGTCTTATATTAAGGATCGGAAGAGTAAATAGGTATTGCCTTTTCTAAATATCTTTCAAATCAAGTGTATTGACTAGAACTACTATTATTACGAGGTCTATCTTAAAAAAAAAAATAAATATAAAAAATAAAGTGAATTAGGGTTTTATATTTAGGATTAAAATAAAAATTTAAAGAGAAGAGATAGTACATTAATAATTATTTTGAAACGAAGATACCTTACCAACCCTTCAAGACAATCATCAATTTTTTTCGCCAACAATCATCAATGTTTTTATTTAAAAATAAACGTATATAAGCAATGAGGATAAATCTATAACAAACTAACACATATATACTACCTGTCCAGCCTTTAATATACCCTAATGATTAATTTAGAGATTAAAAAAAGTTAATTAAATTACTTTAAAATATTATATTTATCATTTTTTTCTAAATTAATTTGTTTGGCTCATAAACTAATTTATATTTTTATGATACACATAAATATTTCAGAGGATAATATAATATATGTTTTAATTATATAACTTTTTATTTTTTTAAAATTTTTAAAATTAGTTAGCTGAGTCTTATATTAAAATCAGAAGTAGTATGTCATATATAATATATATATATATTTTGAGTGAGTAGTATGTCATATTCAAATTGTTTATTCTCCCACCCTTAATCTGATATTTGGAAATGATCCTTCGGCAAAAAAAGATATTTGGAAATGATCCAGTAAAGCAAGACACAAGTTGCCGCTGGAAAATCTTGTATAACGTGTAGAAAAACATGTCCTAAAACATTTTTATCAAAATATACTACCTCCGGCTCCCTTTTAATATAATTATTAAAACTAATTTAATAGATTAAAAAAATTATTAAATTAGTTATTTGTGATAATAGATGTTATTTTTTTTAAATACTCTTGCTAATTAAGTGTATTAGCTAAAACTGTAATTATTATAAAACCTTTTTTTAGAAAATAAATAAATATGATAGACAAAATACATTAAAGTCTTATACTTATAACTAAATTAAAATTAAAATTATTTTTTATATTAAGAATTGGAAGTATAACACATTAGAAATCTAAATTTCGAGAGCAACAAAAAAATTTTTTTTTAATTTAATTATTGAGCAGACCTCCCAAGATCAGGTCATTGAATAATTTCTCCATATCAGTCCAAAAACGAAAGGAATTTTCTCCATAATATTACTAATAAATAAATAAAAGCACATCAGATCACAGCCGTTCATCCATCCACCGTGATCACCCTAGACACGCCAATCATCGTCAAACGACAAGGTACGGTTGTTCTGTTTATCCGCTTAGCGTACGGGAATTTTTCTTTGGCACATAACGACGATAATTATTTACCTCCGATGTCTACGATGAATCCGCCGCTCCCACGATTCCTACATGAAACACCTCTATTCTTCTTCCCACCCCACCCCGCTCATTCACGCGTCTTTCCAGCCTGGCAAAACCCTCCCATTTCGCTTTCGCGGGCCCCACCATGCCACACCGATTTGAATCATTCATGCCAAATTCCAAAAAACCCTTAACCTTTTTTCAAGGTAACAATATGCCTTCTCCTTCTCTCTCCCTTTCTTATCTGTTTAGAGCGCGCACCCCCCCATGCTACCGACCGACACTCCGTTGCCACACTGTCTTTATTTTTATTGTATTTCTCGTTGCCGTCGTGGGTTTCCCGGCTTGTGATGGCACAGGCGAGCTCCCGGTGTTCAGGGAGGCACCGGCATTTCGCAATGGAAGGGAGTGTCCTAAAACGGCGTGGTCAGCCCTCGACGAACGAGCTCACAGCCCGTCGTCTGTCATTCACATCGCGATGACTCTCGATGCCACTTATCTCCGTGGTTCCGTCGCCGGCGTCTTCTCGGTTCTGCAGCACTCGTCTTGTCCGGAGAATGTGGTGTTCCACTTCATCGCCACCACGCACCGGCGCTCAGCGCTTCGGCGGATAATCACTTCTACGTTCCCGTATCTCAATTTCCACCTGTATCACTTCGACTCGAACCTCGTGAAGGGGAAGATCTCCTACTCCATTCGCCGAGCTCTCGATCAGCCTCTCAATTACGCGAGGATGTATCTCGCGCCGACCTCCTACCGGCCGAGTTCGCCGGATAATCTACTTCGATTCGGATCTGATCGTCGTGGATGACGTTGCCAATCTCTGGAACATCGATTTGGGGACGCGTGTGCTTGGCGCGCCCGAGTATTGTCACGCCAATCTGACCAATTACTTCACTCCGAAGTTCTGGTCCAATCCGACCTATGCGGCGTCGTTTCGAGGGCGGAAGCCATGCTACTTCACACCCGGCGTCATGGTGATCGATCTGTGGAAATGGAGGGAAGGAAAGTACACGGAGAAGCTTGAGAACTGGATGAGGATTCAGAAGCGGTACCGGATCTACGAGCTAGGCTCACTGCCGCCGTTCGTACTGGTGTTCGCCGGCGAAGTCAAGAGGGTGAGCACCGGTGGAACCAGCACGGGCTAGGCGGCGACAATCTGGAAGGTTTGTGCCGGGATCTTCATCCCGGTCCGGTGAGCCTGCTTCACTGGAGCGGGAAGGGGAAGCCATGGCTGAGGCTTGACTCGAAGAGGCCATGCCCTTTGGATAGCTTGTGGGCCCCATACGATCTGTTTCCGTCACTCTCGGTTGTTCTCTGACAGCTAGCGGATGACGACGACGTTCACCACACGCGCCACCGCTGCCCGCCGACGAATCACTCCAACCGTTTGTTGTTCTTTGTGAGTATGATCAGCGGTCAGTGGACACTGTGGACTGTGTAGTGGAGTGAAGCTGTGAAGCATACAGAGCGTAAAAAGACGAAAGGGGGCACAGAGGTGCGAAGAAACCAAAAAAGGGTTACTTAACCCGAAACGGCGACGTAAGGAGGCTGTTTGATGCATGCATGGTATGTACAGCATAATAATGGACAGAATACGTGCTATATTCTTGTCTGGGAATAACCAAAAAATAATTATACAATATAATTATTTAACTTATTCTTGGTGATTTTGTAATTATATTGTAATTATTTGGGTCTTATGCATTGCTGTAGGAAAGCGTTTTGGTTTGCGAATTTTATAAGGAAACAACAAACATTCAAGCAAAATGTATAAAAATAGCAGGTCAATATTGCTAGAAAGTTTGAAAAAATACTCCTCCGGTCCTTATATAAGACTCAATTTGACTTTTTATTTGGTCCTAATTATAAGACCCAATCCTTTTCTCTCTTATATTTATGCATTTTTTTCCAAGATAACTTCTAATATAATAGTTTTAGCCATATACTTAATTAGCAGGATATTTTAGGAATAACAAACTTATTATTAAATAAAACTAACTTAACTTATTTCCTTATCTCTTCAAATAAGTCATTGGGTCTTATATTAGGACCGTAGGAGTATTAAATTGTAGGAAGGTGGCTCGGAGAAGAAGGATCTCAGCAGATAAGTTTGAATGTCAAAGTCAACATACCAAAAAGAATTTAGTTAGTCCGTAATTGGAATACTTGCCATAGAGAATATTGTTCGCCAAGGACTATAAGCCAGGTCTTGATAAACTCTCTTGTCGTAGCCGTTTTTTTTTGTGTGTTCTAGTATTGTATGTTTTATAAACTCCTTTTTTTTTTCCGTATTACTACCTTCAGTTCCTAATAGAAAAACCAATTAATTAATTAAATAGATTAAAAAAAAGTTAGTTAAGTTAGTTATTTGTGATAAATATGTGTTCTCTTTCTTAAAATATTCTTACTGATTAAATGTATTGGCTAAAATTATCACTTTTATAAAGATTCCTTTGGAAAAAAATGGATAAATATGAAAGGTAGGTGGATTAAGATCTTATATTAAGATCAAAATAAAAATTGAACAAGCTCTTATATTAAAGACAAGAGCTAGTAATTTATAAAAAGAAATGATTTTTTTCTCACTAATGAAGTACTCATCCGGTTCTTAATATAGCACCTAATTGTTAAGTTAATTTTGATCTCAATATAAGACTTATTTCTCATAGTTATCAGTTTTTCCTAAATTACCCATATGGATACTTTTTCAACCAAATAATCAAATAAGTGAGAGAGGGAGAATATCAAAAAGATAATTAGGTTTTTTAAAAAAAACATGTCATATTTTTTATAATTAACTAACTTACCTAACTTTCTTAATCTAATCAAATTAGTTAAATAAGTCTTATATTAAGGACTGGAGAGTAGTTTAATAGTTTTTTTTAATTTCTTATTTCCTTGGTTTACTGCCTTCCGGTAATTGGTTTGTCTACACATATTTGATTAATAATTCGGGAAGATATTTGTTTGTTTAGGACTGTGATTCATTCAGTGTTTTTTTAGAGAAAACTGAGCTATTAACCTAAACTAAGAAAGTAACAAGAACAACAAAAGACAACCTTCTTTCGTCACCAACCATCCCAACTGAGAAAAGATGAATAGTGATTAAAGGCTCGGTAATTTCCATCTAGCACGTGATATAACAGTGCTTGGCAAGTTGGTCAACTATTTTTGTTATCATCTCTAAGGTGTAGCTAAGCACAACTGCGAATCCCTACAAAACACAGATCTGGCTTCATCTATGACATCACTAGTGATTTAGTGTTTTTTCATTAGAAAAAAAATTGTTGACTTTATAATTTCACAAAAATAGACCATATAGTGTTAGTCATTCTATTAAGCATGATTATATATACCTTATTTCCTTGTCTTACTATAAGTGGTATACATAAATTTATATGCTAATCATTTTTTAAATAATACTACCCCAGTCCTATTTATCAGAGTTAGTTGACTAATTGGAGGAGATTAAGAAAAGAAGTTAAGTAGTTATTTGTAAAAA